GTCGATTCTCGGCAATACACTGGAAAAAAAAACATACAAACACATAGAGTGAAGTGCCAAATGCTAATACCTTCTACCATTAATAGTGTGCTCAGAAGGAGAGTGCCAATGAGCTTGTCGAAGTGGGTACTCCGTCTTGTTGATCAATATTGATCCTGCATCACCGTTCCAATGAAGCTGCGTGTCGAGGAATTTCTATAGTTAATTCTTGAACGACTATGTCTTCAACACGTTTGTAACATACAGACCGAATTAAATTTTTGTTAAGAACTTGACACGGGAAAAATTTAATTTAATTTAATTTTTTTTTTGCTAAATTTGTATTTAAACTGTAATGATGAATCATTATGACAGCATGTTTTTTATTTTGTGAGGATTGATTGTGATGTTGAATCAACTTTTTTTAATTAAAAAAGAGAGAGATTAGACTAATGTGTTTAAATTATGTCTTGAGCCAGCTGTGTCAATTAATCCTGATAAGCTCCATGATGGCTAAAGATAGAATTGAATTATAAAATGCTGGAAAATATAAAGAACATAATTATTGGTATAACACACTGATGAAGCCAACTAATCAAATATTGTTTCGTGTTGGTATAGGAGAGACAAAATAAATAATGGACCGTCTGGCGGAGCGGGTTTTAATATTAAAAAGTTATACGGGGAATTATTAAGATTTGGGGGTCCATCTTAAAAGGTCAACCTTATTAAGAGGAGTAGCCCAAGATCTTTATTAATTGGTCTGTGTCAAACATCTTTATTCGATGTGGGATTATATCCCTTAACAGGAATAATGTTGCCTTTTTTTTTTTTTTTGGGCCAACTTTCAATGATAAAATATCACCCCCGTAAAATCTTTAACGGTGTTTTCCTGTACGCCAAGCAAGGCTCAAAAGCTATTTTTGGTTAGAATTAAATGAAACTGGTTTAATATATGTGAAACTTTTATACAAAAAGTAGAAAGAAAAGTAAAATTGTGCCAAATGGGCTCTATGGTTTAAGAGCAATGCTATGGATACAGGAAAAGTACCCGTATAATTGTATAAGCCGGACAGAATATACACACACATAGGTCAGCCTTAGGTTTTTTTGGCAATATTTAATTCACATGGGTACAGCCTCATGTGAGTGAAATTTAAATTTCTGTACAAATTCTGTTTTTTTTTCCCCAGTCCCTGCGGCTTTTTTCATGGTTTAATTAAGGTGTAGATGGAGTAATGTATTCTTACCGAAATATCATGACCTCTATTCCTGACCGTGGCATTGACAGGCTTATAATTCCTCTTTTCTGGTTTTGAGATAACTCCAACTCTTTCATTCGACATATCAATGGGAGACTGCAATTTTCCATCCTTGCATGCTGCCCATTCTTTCTTCAACTCCCCCCATTTTCTCGGACCCTTTTCGCTCTCCTTTGCGTAATCAAATTCTCTCTCATCCTCTGCACACAAAACATAAATCCCAGTTCAGATTCAAGAAATTAACACACACACACACACAAACATTGTTCATGAAATATTTCTTTCTTGCATTACCAACTTCTTGAGCATTTACTGATTTTGCACCAAACAAAAAAAGCAAGGCAATAATTGAAGCTAGAATACAGGTGGATGTCTTCATGGTTTCTTTTCTATACTTTGGAAGAAACGACTGAAAATTCTTGATTTAACCTTTGTATTATGGGTTTATATAGAAAGAACTGCAGGCATAAATTATTGGGTTAGGTTTAATGAGCTACTGGTGTCGGATTCTTCGTGCAACTTTCTTGATTTCATGTGTGTGAACGGGAGAATACTTTATAGACACCAATTAGAGCACGAAATGAGTAGATTTTGGGCAACACGTTTTAGTTTTGTAATATCGGTGGGCTTAGTTTTATATACATATATTACACACCTTTATGACTTCTTTCCAGGAAAAAAGAATAAACAGTATACTATGCCAACCATGCCTCCGCCAGCTGCGCAGAAATCTCCAAAATGCGAGAGGACAGCAATTATAACCATTTTTGGATTCGCGTTGTTCGTGGAATAGCTTAAAGTTGGCAATAATACATGAGACAACGCGTTTCAAATTTCAGAATTTACACCCTTTTTTCAATGAGGAAAAAAAAAAGTAAATAGGAAAGAAGAGGTTGTTATTTATTTCACTGTAGTCGTATTTATTTCATGTTAGCAATTAATTGTTACGTCTGATGACCATCATGTATAGATTGTCACATCATCAGTTTTTATTTATGGTGGACAAAGTTGTCTTAATTGAAATCAAATCAAAGTGTAGTCACCTAATTAAAATTAATTAAAGTAAAGTGATTCGATTGAACAAAATTGAAATACAGTTACTAAATTGACACAAAGTGAAAGTATAATCATTGCGAACAAAATTTAGTCGAAAGAAGAGGGTATATAACACAATTTCAACTCATTTTCTCACATTTTTCTCTTCTTCAAATATTCAACTAGCCTTGTGTTAAATTTATGTAAACACAATAGATATATATTAAGTTCAAATTTGCTCATGCTTCTTCTTCTTCTTCTTCTTCTTCTTCTTTAAATCGAGCTTATGAATTGTATTCACGTATTAAGTTCATAGGTACTTTACGGATAAAAATAATTATCACATACAAACAAATAGAGGTAATAGAATATTGGGACAACTTTTTTGGGTCAAAGTCTTTATATATATATAACTTATTTGTACAAATATGACTCAATGTGTAATACCATCATATAAAGTAATATAATGGTTTCTATATATTTAAAAATTATCAATCGATTTAGGTAGCGGTTAATATTTCGATTCATTATCCAATCTATTAAAATCACGATTTTATTAATAAAGATCGTCACTGGTTTACCTTTGAATTCAACCAACTCAATTCGAGTTAATTTTTAACTAATATAGAGTCAATTTCGATTTAGAACTTCATCTAGGATGTGTTTGATGGATATTATTAAGGAAATAATGTATTTTAAATAGTGATATGATGAGAAATATGCGGTTAAAAAATAAGAAAAAATTATTGATGTGATGTAAAATATTATTTTATTGAAAAATGTGTGGTTGAAAATGAGTTTTAAAAGAATGTGTACCAAACGGGGTCAAATTTGAGAATCAAATTTGGTGGTTGGATGAGCTCCAATCCGGACCTAAGTGGACCTGAGCCCACCCCTCAAAGCAGCCATGTATTTCAGTATTTGGATTCATCTCTTTGTATTCTTCTTCCATTTGCTGTCCTTTTGATTGATTGAAGAAGATTTGAATGGCTGAGCTAATGTAACATTCAAGTCGTTAGTCATGTTATGGACCAAAGAGCGTTCAACAATTGAGATTTAATATCATATATTAATTTATTAGTGCCCTTTTGTATAATCAACAGGAGACCAATTTTGACTGAAGTTTAAGGTAATTAAAAATAAAACTGCGAAATTAATTTATTAGCGTGTTCTTGTTACACCTTTGATAATCAACAGGAGACCAGTTTTGACCTAGTTTTAAGGTAATTTAAAATAAAATCACAAGATTATGATTACGTAATTGACTACATATGATTGTGTAATTGATTACATAGAGTGTATTTGATGAATATTATTGAGAAAAGAATGTATTTTAAATAATGATATGATAGGAAATATATGGTTAAAAAGTAAGGAAAATCATTGATGTAATCAAAAATATTATTTTATTAAAAAATGTGTGGTTGAAAATAAGTTGTGAAATAATGTATACCAAGCGTATACATAATTTATTTTATGAGTAATTCTCAGGCTTTACAGGGGGGACGACTGTCCCCTTGTTAACGTGCCATGTACGTGTAGCATATCTCGTATTTTACTATTATGAAGAAATTTTGCTCAATTGGGTCAAGATTGTCGAACATTGTAAACAAAAAGCACATACAACGTCATTTTTAAAATTTCAAGTCTTCATTTGCTTGGAGTTTTTTTTTTACATTCATGGGTTTCTTCTCACATATGCTTGGAGTTTTGGGGGTGTTAACTACATGGCCGATTTTTTATATAGTTTGGCTAGGTGTTGAGGTAATAACGAGAGAAGTGCGTTTTTCATTCATTGAAACTTGTATATTCTATATATTGATGAGTAATAAAGGCTGGGAAGAGTTCTCGAATTGATGCTATGTATACAAAATAGGTTGACAAAATTGGTTTAGAAAACATGTGTCGGTAACATTTAGATCAATGATTTCAAAAATAGTTTTTAGAATTAATAGTCTAGATCTTCCCACATTCATTTTGTCAACCTATTTTGTACAACTAGATTAATCCAAGTTCCCCTACCTACTATGTTTGCATCTTTCTTCTATACTTCTGTGTCATAGTCATTTGTTTTTTGAATTTTTCCCCTTGTACAATTATTAATGGACTGTAAAATTTACAGTCCTGAATAATTAGCTTGAGGGCCCACGCTAATCAGTTAGGGCTGTAAAATGTACAGTATGCAGCATCGTTTTTTTTATTTTTTTTTATTTTTTTGGGCATTCAATGAGTTATGAACAAACAATATGCATGTTTGTAGTACCATTGGCAGGTTGAGAAATCTTGGTGCCATCAGGACATAATTTAGTATTCTAATGTTGATCATGTGACAACTGTTGGGTTTTTCACTCAAATTATGTTGAATTTTTTGAGAAAATATTTTTTCATACTTTCCACGTATTTTTATTGAAAAAATATTGTTTCATTTATTTCACATGATTTTTTATCTTGTTTCCATCTTTGTGGTATTTCTATGGTTTGGCATGCACCCCTATAAATATTAGATTCTTTTTACAAGTTTTGTATTATTGGAAGGGTAATTGGCGGTAATTGGCGCAAAACGTCCCTACCTTTGAATGTTTTTTCTGGAAAACGTCCATACCTTTCGTTTTTTGGCGCAGAACGTCCCTACTTTTCACATTCTTTGCGCTGGACGTCCTTTTTACCAATTTTAACATAAAATGACCATTATATCCTCCTATATAAATAAAACAAAACAAAACAAAAGAAAAATAAAGAATAAATTGCAATATGCTCCTAAACTTTTTTTAAAATGCAAACCAGTCAAAAAAGTGGCTATTTTTTGCCTTTTTACAGGCTAAATGCATCCAAATTCCGACAGCCTCTGGCTACCCAAGCCACCGAACGTTGACACCGATCAACAGCCCTCCAATTCGCCATTCAATTACCACCCAACCACTCCCAATTTCATCAACTGTA